GGTGAAAAGTACAGCAGAAGACAGAAGCAAGTGGAGACGTGTAGTTGAAGCCATATGCTCTACTAGGAACCCAAGGGAACAATAATAATAATAGCTGTAAGAGTTTGTCAGCTGGCCACTCCACATAGGCTTTCTTTATACAGTGTCGTTCAATGTCCCACTAGACGTCTTTGTTATTCGAACGTCTAGATTGCAACAAATTAAAGTGTGATGAACCTGCCATTCGGCTATTGAAATTTTCGTTTTAAAATATGTGAAAAATTGTATATTGTCACTATAATATTTCAGCTGTTGTTTGTTATAACGGTAATGAACTCGACTGGTAACACTAATACGCCTATTTGTCCGTTGGACCTCCCACTTCACTGATGAGCCAGGCAAATATCAAAAGACACAGGCTGGCCTGTGTGACTGTAAGATACTGTACTGTATATTTATTAGCTAAATAGAAAATGCTATTTTTACATTTTCTTTACCACAATAAAATCGGCTGTAGCCGTAAGAAATGACTGAACGCACAATAAATCACCATATGCTTGATAAATGATGATATATTTTTTCATACTGGTTCCTATCAGTCTAAGATAAGAATAGCAGTTACTAAAATAAAATATTCAATATTTGAGTAATGTAAAAATAACTTATTGAGCAGGATAAAACGATTTTATTACATTCCGTTGGTTCTTGGTAGTGACATACTTCCATAGACAATTTAAAATCAGTATAGAAAATGTTCAGCTACTTGTTCAACAGTGGTCATGAAATCGGTGTATTAAAATTCTTTAAGATAGCCAAAGTTCAAGGCAGCTCTAGGCTACTTGCTGTACTGCATTGAAGTGATTAATATCAAACATTTAAAACCAGATTTGTGCATCCAGAAGGAGACTGTAGTTAATCTTCCTTACCTTGCAAACATAATTTACATTGTTTAAGCATTTTTTCTTTCAACCTAGTTATTTTGATTATATTTTGTTTTATTGGTTGGAGGATTTCATTGTGAGCTGACACCAGTTAGAGAACCATTGGAAACCCTGCAGGGAGTACTGCCAAACAGCTGCTTTGTCCCACTAGTTTGGGACTGGCTCTTCATCGGCACGCAACCATCAAGTGGTGTTCGAACCCAAGACCTTCTGGTTACAAGGCGAGCTAGCTCGTAGACCACTAAACCACTGGGACCCTATCCTATTGTAAGCCCATAAATTTTAACTTTTGCCAATTCATTCATAGTCCTAGGCTCAATAATACTGCGTAGACTAAGTGGTACTCGAGAGGAACAAACACGAGAGAGGCTTTGGACCAGGAAGGGGGTGTATTGATCATTATCTTCACCCTTCGACAGATTCTAGAACATAGGCATACTTACCGGCGGCGTCCAACAATCGTTATATTTCTTGACCTAAAGGCGGCATTCGATTCTGTCGACCGAGAGGTACTATGGCGATGACTGGCTGTGAAAGGGAATACCGAGAAAATACATTGCACTGATCAAGGTACTCTACTCGAACTCATGCAGCCAGGTGAGAGTTTACAGCAAATCTTCATCTGAAGTGGTGACAACTGGTGGTGTCCGTCAGGGATGCCAACCCACTATCCCCATTTCTATTCAATTTCATCATAGATGTACTAATGGATTTAACTCTAACTCACTTCAGAGAACCACGGATTGACTTGTCACCACGGAGTAATCTCGTTCACTTAGAATGCGCAGATGATATGATATAATCCTTCTAGGTGAAGAGGCTGACAAAACAAAGCAAAGTCTTCTGAACACCTTCAGCTGCAATCTGCGAATGGTTGGCATGCGATTCGCTCCAGGCAGATGTAAGATGATGTGATGCTACAGGACTGGACAACATTGACTCGTTCCTAGCTTAGAAATAGGGAGTGAAGTGGTCAGTGGAGCGTGTGGACCACTTCACTTATTTGAGAAGTTGCAACGGAAAACGCCGACGGGTTGATCGCTGACGAAATGTCAGCACGTATAGAGAAGGCTAGTTTCGCATATGCCACTTTACGCCATCTCTCGCTTAGTAGGCACGATATCCGGTTGTCTAACGAACAAAAGCCGTGTGCACTGCTCAACAGTTCACCCGTCCTCCTTAATGGCTGGCTGTGAGCAAGACCTGGGCATTGAGAGCAGAAGACATGAAAAATATTAGCTGTCTTCGACCATAGATGTCTGCGTTCTATCCCCCGTGTGAAGTGGTATAATAAGGTGAGCAATATTGAGGTAAGGCGTCGTTCAAATGCTAGGTAAGGAGGGGAAATCAATAGACGAGACTGTGAAATTACATCGACTGAGATGGTTAGGACATGTGCTACGTATACCTAGTCATCGCCTTCCTCGACAATAGGCAATGTTAGGTGACATAGGGTCAGGCTGGAAAAGAGCTAGCGGCGGTCAAAACAAAACATGGCATCAGTCAATGAAATCCACAACAGTTAGTCTAAGCCACGTAGGAAGGTGTAGACTACCTGACTGGTTGGGGTCCTCGGGATGGTAAAAACCAATGGTTGGAAATAGTTGGTGACATGGATCAAAATCGTTCTCAATGGCTGGTGCAGATGCATCCACTCCTTGTGACTATTGATTTCCAATGAAACTGTATTGTTCTTCGTTATTACTATTCCCTTGTCTCTCACCTCTGCTTATTGTCTATACTATGCATTTCTCCTACTTTCTTCTCTTGCTTTGTGTGCTACATGGAGGGAGTGTGGCGATTTGAACTGCTGCACATCGGTGCAAACTTCTATGTCGAAAACAGACAGATAACATAGCGCAAAATCCTCCAACCAATCAAATGAAATCCCTACAAAACCAACACTTGAAAATTAATCTGATAATCACTACCGACTGGCCCTATCCAGTTGGGTAGTCACCTAAGGTTTTAGTGGGAAGCTGTGACCAGTAGGATACATCAGGTTGAAGGTGAAGACAGCAACTCATCGAAGAAGACATTGAGCGAATTGGTCGTGCTATGTCGTAAATTGGCAGACGTTGGAATTCATAGGCTGTCCATTGGATAGGGCTAGTGCCAGTGGCTGCCGAATGATCCACGAGCTCTCTAGCCTTGTAACCAGAAGGTAGTGGGTTCGAACCCCAAATGATGGGTGCTTACTGAAGAACATTCCCAAATTAGTGGGACGAAACAGCTGTCTGGCAGTACTTCCCGTTGGTTTTCCAATGGTTCTCTATTTGATGTCAGCTCATGATGAAATCCTTCAACCAATCAAAGAAGAAAGCCCTACAAACCAATGCTTGAAAATATATTTTGTGTTGAAAATGTAATTTTCCACTCTGATTTTGTTTTCATCTATATTCTTGACCGGATCCCCTTCTTGCAACATTCGTCTGTAATTCCAGAAAATCTGTTTAAACTCAAATCATAATACCAACAAGAAACCATCATCGAAGACCACGAGAAAATTTAATCTACCATATATACCAAGAATATTTCTGAAACAACTGACGGATAGAATACTAAGACTACTTGAAATAAATATAACATACAAGCCACCCAGCCAGCCAGCCAATACAATCACTTCATTCAATATGGTGTAGACCAAAAGACCCAAACAGAAGAAAAGGATATGCTCAACACCATTTACAAAAATAAATTGCATGAACTGCGATAAACACTCCATCGGTCAAAATGGGCCTCCCTTTCGAATCCCAGTCCAAGAACATAAATCAGTTGTGAAAAGACGCGGTATGTATTCTTTAATATCGATTCACATTGACAATCACGGACGCCAACTTAATAATAATAATTTTGCTTTATTCCGAAACAGAACTTGTGATACAGAATGGAATTCTCAGCATTTATACAACAGTACTGCATCCAGTTAGTACATTATCAATAAATAGAATTCTCCATAGACTAGGGAAATCTCAGTTCATTATGACAACAACATATTGGCATGTCGGTAGCAAAGACGAAATTGAACAGAATGTTTGAAGGTGCTAGAAAAGTAGGTGCTGTCATATTTACTGGCGTAAGCGAAAGAAAGAAACAAAGCAGCACATAATGGAAAAAAAGAGGGAGAAAAGGAAAAGAAAGAAAGAAAATCTTGTACCTATAAATGATATGAGTTGGAAAGACGAGATCCAGTTATTCCACTCATTATTTAATAAGTTATAGGTATCACGCCTAATGCTTTCTTTATCGCACAGAACACGAGCTAAGTAGGCTATGGTTGAGTTTTTGTACTTGCTGGTGCGAGCATATAGTTTTCTATATAGGCTTCTGGTTCTACCTGATGAGATACAAGGGGGGAGTTGTGAGTGAAGAGGGTGGTGTGAGTCAGATAAAATGGATTTGGCCCATTTTTCACATGAGTCCATGTGCCTGTCAACCAGAATATTAACAAGCTGGTTAAGTGGCACGTTGCTTACCCTGCTGACAACCTTTAACATCCTGCGTAATAAGATATAGTCTTTCTTCAGTAGCACCGGAAAAACTAAGGGGGAACAGTAGAGAATAATAGGCATAATGCGAGAGTTAACGAATTGTAGGAGTAAGGGTTGAGATAATGTAGAAATCCTAAACGGAGGAAACACCGTAAATACTGCTAGGGAATATCTAGAAGCCTGATACTCAGAAGAATCAGTCATTAACAAACACATTACTAAAGACCAAATCTACCAAATCATAAAAGATAAATCACATGACAAGAAAATTCGAATTGCAAATCAATAAAAGTGATCAATAGAGATGTAAATTGACAACCAATCAGGACAATAGTTGTCAGGAGGTACAAATACACCAATCATAGGGTATTCAAATAAGTTCATATCATACTGAAACCTGTGCTGAAGATGTTGTCTAGAGGAAGGACAACAAAAGCTTCTTAATTAAATCAACCAGCTGCTCAAAGAACACAACTAAATCAAAATCCTCCACCTGAGCTACAAATCTCCTCCATTATATAATGACATCATTTTTCCCTACTAAACGTGCTATTCTCCCTTGGTCCAAGTTTGTCAAAAGAAATAGGTGTATAGCAAAATATTCACATGTATTTACAAAATTGCATTTCAATCACACACAAACACACACAGAATATCAAAAAGTATAAAAAGTTTATCCACTAAACAAAATAGGCAATTACTACAAAAGCAGACAAACAAATAATTAAGGCAAAGTGTTCAACTGCCTGGACATCACTCAATACTGCTAGATTGGATTCAATAAACACTCATTCTTCGACTGACAGTCATGATAATCTTGGAAGTTGAAAAGTGATTCTAAATTATCACTCCTTCTGTGCGTTACACAAACACATGGTGGTTTCAAGAAATTTGGATGATTTAATTGTTTTGGAGTTGTAAACTCCAAGGGATTATTAGATCTGAAAAAAATATATAGATAAACAAGCGAAATAATGTTTATATTAGCAATACATTTAAAAGCACTCATTTATTTGATGACATTAGATAGTTGGAGGCAATCGGCCACGGGAAACCTTGGACCACCTAAGTTTCGTTCTGGTTGGCACTCACCAGTCAACAAGGGGTATCTCCAATCACCTTGAAGGAATTCATGTCCCTCCTTCTGAGATTCGAACCCGCGTTAGCAGCCAGTGCTGGAGTCAGTCAGAGACGTTACCACTGAGCTATTCGGGCTCACTGGCGATTGACCTCCTGTAGGACTGTATTGGATACTTTGATTGGACACTAGTCACTAACTAGTTTGATGCGAATAGTCCTTTCTTTGATGCAGACTGAATTCTATCAGTCAGATCCAAGGCTTCCTGTGGCTGATTGCCTCCAACCATCTCTAATATTATCAAATCAGTGTGCACCGTGATGGTGAGCTACCTAGCTTGATGGTGACCACATTGTAAACATGACTGATAGAATTTAGTCTGCACAAAAGAGAGGAATAGACACGTCACACTAGTTACTAGTGTCCAATCAAAACATTCATTCACAAGCGGATAAAATACTCTTGGTTCGAAGATCTATCATCGATTGAATTCATTTACAGAAGCATTGAAAACAAGCAGGAAGTACTAGAGTGCTATTCACTACATAATAATAATAATTTTTGCTTTATTCCAAAAACAGTAATAATGATACAGCAAGGAATTTTCAGCATTCAGTACAATATTGCAACTGATATATTCAAAAACAACAAAAAATAAACATTATATAATAATGACAACAAAACGTTGTTATAGCAGCTATGTGGCAATTACAGTATGTGTTTACAAACTGCAGAAGTAAAGGTAGGTTGATACCTGATTGTCTTAACTTTTAATGTAGAAGGCAAAACGAAACATTTTTTAGAGATTGATAAGATGTGGGATGACCATGAAAGGTCAGAGGAAAGAACTAATCCAAAGTATTTAATGCTTGACTTGGTTTCAATTTCAGTGCCATCCATGCTACAGGCATCATGGGATCTAACTAGTATGTATGTCACGACGATGCTTTAAAGTAAAGTTAACTGCCTGACATTTGGAAGGATTTAACATAAGACCATTTGACTTGGACCACTTGCTGATGTCCAACAGAAAGCTATTAAGTTTGGAGCAGTCAGACTCGGAAGTGATAGGCAGTGATACAGTCAGATCATCCGAATATCTGACAAAGTTAGTTTCGTTTAAATGAGGCAGGTCGTGTAGGAAGAAAGAAAAAAGAAAAGGAGAGAGGACGGCACCTTGAGGAAAACCGGCTTTTGAAAGCGAGGCAGAAGAAGATTTGCCATTATATACAGTATACTGCATTCTATCAGAAAAATAAGAATGCAACCAACTCTTAGCCCAGGATCCTGTTTGCGTGAACGAAAGCTTATTTAATAAAAGGATCCTAGGTACAGAGTCAAAAGCAAATGTGTAGTCTAGGAAAGCGCCACGAACATATTTGGCACCTTTGTCTAAACAAGAAACAACATAATGATATGAGATATCCATGTTTGGGACTCCTCAACAGTATACACCCACCCATCATTTCATTGAGGATAAGACCAATAACCTTTATGTTACAGGGTGAGCTCTTTGACCAAACAGATACTGGGACGGAATCTAATAACCTGCCCATGATTTCGAGCTCCCTCCAATTCGTTAATTTTAGCGCGACCACCAGTCAATATCATCGGTGATAATCTACACTTACATCAAACTCTTGGTTTGGCCAATTCATTTGTGGTTGTTACATAAGGATTTGAACAGGGCAGCTTCCAGATCACTAGTCGAGTTTGTTATAATTTAGACGCTTTCTCCTATATGTGCTATGTATGACTGGTAGGTAGTCATTTTTAATAATAGCAATAATAATGATAATAATCTGCTTTATTCCAAAAAAAAATACTTATAATGCAGAATAGAATTCTCAGCATTAGTCACAATATTGCACCTAATTTACTCAAAAGATAAATAAAATTAAATTAACCACAGGAATTTGTCCACATTTACGGTAGGAATAAAGTCAAAAATGTACAAAGTACAAAATGAGAATAATAACTACAGTAATAATAATAATAATAATAACAAGGGGTTAGTTTCAAACAGCATTGTTGATACAGTTTGGAAAGCTTAAATTGTTGTAGAGTATTGAATCTAATGTTCTCTTGATATAGCATGGTGAGGGTGAGGGAAAACAGAAATTACAGAGCTTGAATGATATTTACACTTATGAGAAAATAGACAAAAAAAATTGAGAGGATTAGAAATATAAGATGAACAATAACAATAAAGCTTGATGGAATAAGAATGAAGAAAATGGTTTATTTATTAGTGGAAAGAAGGTTAGTTAGTTCGTCCTCGACACTATATTCATTACATAAGATACGTGTTAAATGTGGTATCAATTAATGTAACAACCCCCCTTCTCAGGCGTGAGGCTAGCAACCCCACCCTGTAAACAAACCTGATACAGAAACTTCAGCACGATGTATCTCCTTGAGACAAAAGAAAAAGTCTGTGTGGGGACATGGAATGTCCGTACCATGTACGAGATTGGCAAAACTATCTTGACTTCGCCGATGATATATGTCTGATTTCCCACAAACTGGAAGACATGCAAGCGAAAAGCAACAAGTTGGCAGAAGAACCATCAAAGATAGGACTTCATGTAAACATAGAGAAAACAGAGGTAATCAAGATTCCTGGACAAGAACAACAACAACAACAGAAAACGATCAGCATAAATGGGAGGAACCTGAAAGAAACAACCTCCTTTACTTACCTGGGAAGCATCGTTTCAACTACAGGCGGAACTGACGAGGATATCAAAGCAAGAATAGGAAAAGCAAGACAGGCTTTCACTACTCTCAAGCCTGTGTGGAGGTCAACACCACTCAGCATCAAAAATAAGATCCGAATTTTCAACTCCAATGTGAAGTCAGTCAGTACTACTATACGGATCAGAGACTTGGTGCGTCATAAAGAGCACCTCAAACAAACATCAGACCTTCATTAACAGTTGTCTTCGCTCAATACTCAAGATCAGATGGCCAGAAAAGATCAGCAATAGAGATCTCTAGGAGCGAACCAACCAGGAACCAATTGTGAAACAAATAGGCAGAAGAAATGGAGATGGATTGGCTGGCCATACTCTCAGGAAACCATCAAGTGACATCACTAGACAAGCCATTGCTCGAGTGGAACCCGAAAGGGAAGCGACGAGTTGGTCGTCAGTGCGAGGGTGGGTGACTTGGAGGAGGTCATGTGAAGAGGAGATGAAAACGTATGGGCAGACTTGGAGCCAGGTGAAGACTCTAGCAGAGAACCGAACGCAATGGAGATGCACGGCTGAAGCCCTATGTTCCTCTAGGAATTAAAGGATACAATAATACTAATAAACGTGGTATCGTGGCATTTTTATACTTACACTTGCGCGCATAAAGTCTCCTAAAAAGACTTCTTGTTTTACCTGAGGAGATACAAGGTGAAAGCTGCAGGTAAAGTGGATCCTCACAATCTGACAAAATTCCTTAAGCAAATTTATTGCATGAAATCAAGTGCCTATCAACGATGATGTCAACGAAATGGCCCAATCGGATACCACCACACGCTCTACTGACAGTCTTCAGGGTTCTACGAAGTATGACATAGTCTTTTTTAAGCCATCCAGGAAAGAATAAGCATGTGGATGCTCACAGTTTTCAATGTCACCGAATTATCTTCCTAACCTGGCTTTCCCATCTAAATTCAAGTCACTCAACATAAGGGAGAAACCATTAAATTATTTCCTTAAATTGTTGTGAGTTTCCCCTTTCACTGGCCATTATTATTATTATCATATTGTCACTGTTATTCCCTTGGGTTTAGAATGAAACACACGACTTCATCAGCACATCTCTATGTCAGCCACCCGTCTGCAGTTTGCTTTAGCCGGCTCCATGATTTCCCATAGAATTTCATGTCCTCCGCATAAAATCTCCTTCATCTCACATCTGAACTAACGTACAACTCGTCGTTTCTCATTCAGGTTCAAATTGAACACTTGGTGTACGATGTCCCTCAACAGTGTTCTCAGTGGATGTCCAATCCATCTCCATTTTCTTCTGCAAATTCCTCGGACAATAGGTTCTTAGCTAGTCCGTCAACCAACTAGAATCCCTTGTCGCTTATCTTTTCTGTCCACTTTATCTTCAGTATAGAGTTAAGGCAGATTTTGACGAAATTCTGCAGTAGCCAGTGGTGCATCAAGTCAGGAAATGCTCAGTCATTGTCGACATTTTACCTCCAAGTACAAATGCTTAAATGATACCTTCAGATTAACATGCTCTCTCACTCACACACAATTTAGTATCCTTGCGATAAAACGCTCAGGCATTTTAAACGATGGTTGAGGTGTTTTATTTACACTGAGAACACCATCACTCATACTATATTCAGCCAACAAATCAATAAAAGAAAGAGGAATGAGTCCTAGTTACTATTGTTAGCATTATTAATGATGCATTAGAACTATTGTTTATCATTGAATGTTTCCTACACAGACACAGGGAATGAAACTGTGTAGATTTAGGTCATCCAAATTAGCTGGCTAAAATTATAACGCATCATGGTGAGGTTCGATGAAGCACAGACCAATGACTACTTAATATTTGTAATTGATAAACACAGTGAACACCAGATGACCATAAAGGATTAGGGATGGAGAACTCTGGCGACTAACCAAACAACGGTTGAGAAATATCACGTGCCAGTCCCTACAGTGGAACCTAAACAGGCTAATGCGGAATCGTAATGTAACGACAGAAGGTAAGGACCAGGCAACAGATCGTTTATTGAGAAAATCATCAGATATTTATAGATTTTTATGTACATTGTTATTGGCGTTATTGTTAGCAGAGAAGTAATGTCTTCTGATTGGTTATTTTCTAACCCAAGGTTATTCTGTACTGCTTGTGACCGTTTCTTAGAAAGTTAAGCCATATATCTGCGAATCGTATTTGCACACGTCAAGTCTGCTGTGATTGGTTGGTGAGTTCCTGAAGGTTAAGCTTTGTTATTGCTTTTTCCTCATGACCCTAATTCCAGACGTGAACATTGACGTAAATTGTTGTCTAAAATTTTGGCTAGCAGACAGCTCTCACTACAGTAGGACCATCTAACGTGGATTACAGAGAACCGAGTGAAATGGAGGTGTGCTCCTGAAGCTCTATGTTCCATTTGGAACCTTATGGAATAGCACTAATAATATATACAACTCTGCATAATTTGAATGTACATGTTTGAACCAAAAACAATTTTTCTTATTTTAATGTCGACAAGAAAGGAAGTAGAAAAGAACAAGTTATCATGTGAGAAAGAGAACTTTTATTGAACTAAGTAAACACGTGGAACCCTTCACATACACACGAGAAATATACCAACAATATCAACACCACTACCGGTATTATAATTTCAGAAATCTTACAAAAAGTCCCACCTTTCCAAGAAAACTATTTACACAGAATCATGAGGTTTAGTTGATACTTCAACTAATTCAAATACACAAAGAGGAAGTAAATAGAAATACCGATACAATTAAAGCAAACAAAAGTAGATATGAGAAGGTAAATTAAAAATAAATTAGGTCAGTTAAAACTTTACAGTGCTTCTATATAATTCAGAAACTCCTAGCGCGTGTCACCAAGAGCATCTCCAACAGACTGCGACAAACCTTCATCAACAGCTACCTTCCTTGTCTCCATATTGAAGATTAGTTCACTGATGATATCAGATGAGCAACAAGGATTTCTTTGGTTCTAGGACTTCATCATGAACTGACATCAGTTAGAAAGAACCAATGGAAAACCTACGGAGAGTACTGCCAGACAACTTTTTCGACCCACTACTTTGTGACTGGCTCCTCATCAGTACGCACCCACCCCACTAGGTTCAAACCTAGGGCCTTCTGGTTACAAGGCCAGCGAGCTCGTAGACCATTCAGCAGCCACTGGGACCCACCCTATCCAATCGCCAACCCATGAATTCTAACTTCTGACAATCCATGACACAGCGCGGACACTTCGCGCAATGTCTTCTTCGATGAGTAACTGTCCTCACCTTCAAATTGACGTAGCCTACTGGTCACGGCTATCCTCTAGAACTCTAGTTAACTACCTACCTGAATAGGGCCAGTTGCTAGTGGGCATCAGGTCAATCTTCAACTATTGGTTTGTAGGGATTTTGTTTGATTGGTTGAAGGATTTCATCATGAGCTGACATTAAGTGAGGTACTAACTCATAGAAGAAGACATTTCGAAGTGGCCGTGCTATGTCATAAATTGACAGAAGTTAGAGTTCATGGGCTAGCCATTGGATCTAGCGGGTCCCAGTGGCTTAATGGTCTACGAGCACGCTAGCCTTGTAACCAGAAGTTCGTGGGTTCGAACCCCAGTGGGATAGGTGCGTGCTGCCGAAGAGCCAGTCCGAAGTTAAAGGGACGAAACAGCTGTCTAGCAGTATTCCTCGTTGGTTTTCCAATGGTTCTCTAACCTATGTCAGCTCATGATGAAATCCTCCAACCAATCAAACAAAACACCTTCAAAATTAGTATTTGAAAACAAGGATTTCCGCTGACGAACCAACCAAGATCTTAAAACCCAAGAATTACGCATATGTAAGTAAAGATGGATTTCAAATACGCTGAGGCCTTTTAGTGGAACTCAAACTGCAAACGGTAAGTTGGACGTGTGTCCAAGAATGGCAAGAAGAAGAAGATCGTGTGAATAGGAAATTACAGCTTGTGAGTAATCACGGAGCCAGCTAAACGAGACTGCAGTAAAGAGAAAGAAAAGATGGAGATGTTCGATTGAAGCCCCATATTCCACCCAGAACCCAAGGGAAGATGATAAGGATTACATAGTCAACGTTATTCTCACCAACCTCAAGCTATATCACTGACAGTCTCGATGAATAGCTTCCGAATACCTAAAGGAGGTCAAATAAACATTCCACTACTACGCAAAGTTTACATACACCTAATCCTACTTCAGTAATTCTTGCTTGACAGACAACTTCACTCTAGATGTCCTTCCATGGCCGTCGCAGGCATAGAGGTAGAATACTCGCCAACCATTCAGGTGGTTCGCGGTTCGGTCCCCGGCCACCGGTGCACTCTTCTACCAGTAATAAGAATGGTAAAGAGGGAAGGTTGGGCATAAGGCTAGCAACCCCATCTCACTAAAATAATAAACACCACTGCTACCGAAAATTCAAGCCTCTAGCTTGAAGCCCTATGTTCCAATGGGAAAGTAAAGGAATAAAAAAATTATAATAAAGGTTTTTGTATTTCCCAGTGAATGAAAAACAAAACGATATTGTCGTTGTGTTTACTGACGTTTCGCTATTTGATGCTGCTGCTAGTGGCTTTATCAAAGTGTTATTTAACCGGAATTTACAAAATTTCAGCCTATATATAACAAAGAATTATGAGGTGAGAAAATAGACTGCTTAGGTCAAGTTAAAAGGACATGTTGAAAGTCGAAATAACAATGAAGATCACTAAACCATATAAAAAGGTAATAGTAAGTCTTTTATGATATCGAAACAAAGTTTACTAACTTGATCATCGTTCGTCAGTATGGGGCCATTTTTCGTTGTCAAGTTGGCCAATTCGTAAAGATAACAAAGCCAAGTGTAGATGTTGGATTTGATCAGTGTGTAAAATTATAAAAGCAGTGTGTGTTTACATAGTTGATTTTGTCACTTCATGGGGGAGGGGTGTTGTAACTAGGTCAGATTCTGTTTTAGTCCATCATTCCTATTCAGACAATTTGGATTCCATTTGATATGAAGTGCTTCTGATGATGTTAGACGTTCTTTGTGATTTCTGAAGTTTTTCTGGATTCTTTCAATATTGTCAAACTCAATTTTCTGGCCTGATTCTACAGCGTGTAGACAAACTATGGCTGACTGATGATTTTTCAAGCTCTCCTAGTTCAACTGGATTTCTCGGTGGTCGAAAAGATACGACTCTACGGTGTTCATTTCTTCTGATTTTGATTTCTCTCTAGCGATGCTTTTCCGATGTATATCGCATCACATTCCAAGCAGGCATTTTATTTTGTAGACACAATTAGATAGAGAATCTTCAGGGATTTGGTCTTTAACATGGACAAGGTTGTTTCGCAGTGCGTCTGATGTTTTGAAGAAAACTCTAATGTCCAGCTGATTGAGTACTCTTCTGATATCTTCTGACGTTTCTGCTCTATATGGAATGACGACTGTTGAGGTCCAAATTTTCGGAATGCGTTTTCGACCACACTTAATGTCAGTGTTGATTTTGTTGATGAAGTCCCTTGGGTAATTGTTTTGCTTGAGAGTTTCAGTAATGTTTGATATTTGTTCTTTTTCCTTCTCATCCGTTAACATCAAAGAGTGTGCTCGTCTAAGAAGACTTGACACAGCTGAAACCTTTGCACTGATGGGGTGTGATGATCTGAAGTCTAAATATTTATTGGGGTAGGTTTTCTTCCGTTTTCCCTCCTCTTAACTAGTCAGCCAGTCTAGAAATGGTAGTTCACCGACATCTGATTCTGCTTCCGAAGTAAACTAGATTCTGGGAGATACACAGTTTATTTTCTCCAGGAATGAACTGTGTAGATCTCGTTCTAGCACTACAAAAGTATCACCTACATATCTTAACCATGTTTTAGGAGTGAGTATGCTTGAAAAGATGTTATTTTCGAATCTATTCATGGAAAGGTCAGCGACTATTGGGGAGAATGGTGAACCCATAGCAACACCATTTGTCTGTCTATATAAACTCCCTTTAAATGTAAAATAATTACTTTCTAGACAGAATTTCAAGCTCTTAATTATTTCACTGGTGTCTAGTGGACATCTTTGTGATAGCATTGTATGTGATTCTAGTAGACAGGAAATGATATCAAGAATTTCAGTAACAGAGATACTAGTATAGTAATGAGTTAATATCATAGCTTACTATAATGTCTTCTTTATCAAAACTATAGATATCCAAGAGATTCGATAACCTATGGCTATCTAGATTTTCATCGACCGGTCTATCTGTTTCTTTCATATGTGATCTGATGTGCTATAGGACTAGTTTGCACCAGCTCCATTGTATTAAATATACGAATATATGCGAATCAAACAATTCCAACAGTGGTGTGAACACGGGCAGTAATTTTGGTCGAAATATTACCAATAACAAAACTTATCATTGTGTGTAAACTATTGAAATATAATTATACTTTATTTAAATATACCTATTAGGCATTTATTTGTATTTGCACATAATTATTGACTTGCATTCATCTCAAGTATGTAAACGAAGTGAGTAGTCAGTTTACCTTTTATCTTCACAATATCCGTACACCTGATCTCCAACACTTCTTAGTTCGCATTTAGGAAATAGGGAAAAAATCTTCTCATTTTCTTTAACAATCACATCCCATGTGTGCATAATTTCTTGAAAGTAGGCCATTGGTTCGCCCATTGGATCCAGATATATTCCTGGAACATAACCTATAGAAAGAAAGTAATACGTAAGCCATTTATTATTGCTAAATGATTAATGAACAATATTATGGTACAAATGGAGTTAGGCGTGGAGTATTATGGGAGAATAAAAGAAGACAAATTCAGCGAAGAAAATTTTCTTCATCGACGAAATCATCTTTAGAGGCTGGCTGTACAGTTGTATTTATATTTGGTTGGAAGATTTCATCATGAGCTGACATCAGTTAGAGAACCATTGGAAAACCTGCAGGGAGTACTGCCAGACAGTTGTTCCGTCCTAGTTTGAGACTCTTCATCAGTATGTACCCACCCTACTGGGGTTCGAACCCAGGAACTTCTGTTTACAAGGCTAACGAGCTCGTAGACCATTAAGCCACTGGGGTCTGCCCTATCCGATGGCCAGCATATGAATTCTAACTTCTGCCAATTCACGACATAGCGCGACCATTTCGCAATGTCTTCTTCGATGAGTTGCTGCCTCATTTTCAACCAAAAATGTATAGTAGTCTATTATTGAGTAATAGGGGAGGGGGTAACATAACTGATATAATTACTCAGAAGTGGCTTTAGAACCAGGAAATAAAAGTTGTAAATTACGTGGTACAACTTTTATTTCCTGGTTCTAAAGCCACTTCTGAGTAATTATATCAGTTATGTTACCCCCTCCCCTATTACTCAATAATAGACTACTATACATTTTTGGTAAATATAAATACAACTGTACAGCCAGCCAATGAAGATGATTTCGTCAATAAAGAAAATTTTCTTCGCTCAATTTGTCTTTTATTTTCTTCATAGCTCACTGGGTATTTTCGGTGATTATGTGAACAGGACAAATAGTGGATAAGGTTGTGAAGCTACATAGATTGGGACAGCTAAGACAAGTGTTGCACATACTAATCCGTCGTCTTCCCCGAAGAATAACGTTAGTTGACATACTATTAGGCTAGAAAAAAATTGGGAATGGTCAAACAGAAAGCTGGAATGATTAATGAAATCCTAATAATTCTGCTGAAGAACCTGCGGCTCACACAGCAAAACGATCAGAAAAATCTTGTTTTGATTTTTTCTTAAACACGCTGGGATTACAATTTGATTGGTGGATGGTCACTAGCAGTGGAATCCACCAGGGTACTCATTTCGACCTATTTGGGACTCGTCTCTGGATGTACCTGCATTCCCCAGTGAGTGATGATGTTCCCACCAAGGCACAAACCCAGTTCCATCCACTAGACCACTTGGGCCAGAGGATAGCCACCTCTTGTGCAGTGGGTCATGTTAATTATTTAATTGAATTCTAGATTTTCCCGTCGATTTGGCACTGAGTTCGAGCCTCCGTGAGAACATCATCACTCACTGGGGAATGCAGGTACATCCAGTTAGCTGACGAGTCCCAAATAAGACGAAATGCACATCCTGGTGGATTCCACTGCTAGTCAATATCCACCGATTGATTCAACATTATTACTTCTTTCTACTCAGATATTAATACCAATCCTTTTCCTGACACCCGATTTGATGTATCAGTAATTTAATGCTAAGAATATTGCCAAATATGCACGCGACTCTGGTTTGAATCCCGGACGACACACTAATAAACCTTGCCTAGCCAGCAGTAAAGAGCAAAGTTTGGGTGTGAGGTTAGTAACCCCCTCCCCTTGGAAAATACAACAATCCCTCTTCTGAAACTTCAAAGCTCAAACATGATGGCCTTTGTTTCACTCAGAATACAAAAGAATAAAAAAGTCGAGCAGCTTCAACAACGACATCAATTCCATATGCAAAAAGCTCTACAATATATATTCCGTGCACCTCTTGTCTTATACACTTTGAAAACAAAATCATAATGGTATGTTTTCCGTACTTTTAGATGCAACAGATAACAAGATTACAAATAAGGATTAAAAACGTTGCAATAAAAAAAATAAAGAGGAAGTTTGAATAAGAAGTGCGACCACTAGTCAAGATCTTCGGTGAGTATTTGTTCTCACGCCTGACCTGCTTCAACCTACTGGTCACGAATTAATGGGCTGGCCATTAGGTCGGATCCCAGTGGCTTATTGGTCTACGAGCTCGCTAGCCCTGTAACCAGAAAGTCCTGGGTCCTAACCCCAACCGGTGAGCGGGTACTGATAAAAAGTCCCCAAACAGTGGGACAAAACAGATGATGTCACATCCCACTGTATTTACCAATTTGAATGTACGTGTGGACGTACACACACAAATAGGGAGGACTCAGTGATCTCTGCAAGTAAGGGCTGGCTTCAGAGCATATTCTTAAATGGCTCCAGAAACAAATGGAATCTTCAGAACTCATTAATGGTGAGAACAGGAGATCTAGCTCCTCTATTGCGAAACATATTATAGAGACAGGACACAAAATTGACGCTAACAGATGTTTTAAAGCTATCTATAAAACGTGTTTGGGGCGTATCGTAAAGTTTGTGGGAGCCCCAGCTGGCAATTAGAAAGTTTAAACCACCTTTATGCGTTCAAAAACAATTCGTCATCACATTAAACTTTCTTTGGTAAACTTTGTTTTGATACCGTAGCAGATGTACTATGACTTCTGCTATTTGGTTATGTATGTGCTATCGTCTGTAAGAATTATACAGTAAAGCTGAGTGACGCATTCTTAAGTTGCAAAGAGGAAAAATGAAAGATCCTTTTGAAACAAACAACAGAATAACAGAAAGCATTACAGGAAGACAAAAAAGAAGTACAATATGAAAAAACGTGTGCAAAAGCGAAAATTTCAATGTGACACTGGTGAATCTTCTTGCCATAACTGTACATCATTTTACAAATTAAAAAGAAATTTTGCTATTGAAACTACTGTAGTATTCTGTCATTACACATATATATATATATGCATACTCGCTGCTATAATATGCGGATCAATAGTACTTCCTGTAGTCCAAAAGCCTGGATAAATCCTATCGATTTAGCTAGTATACAGCTTACAGTGCACTTCTTTGTTTGACATTTAGGTAGTGGACACAAACCAGGACATCTTATCGATTACCTTTAATCATCATCCAACAAGCAAATATGTACACATATATATATGCGTAAAAAACCTAGGACGAAACAGCTGTCTGGTAGTACTCCCTGCAAGTTTTCCAATGGTTCTCTAACTGATTTCAGCTCATGATGAAATTGCGTCGGTGGCACAGTGGTTAGGACTCTCGCCGACCATGCACATGGTCCAGGGTTCGATCCGCTGCCGGCGCACACCCGATATCTATGGTCGGCCTGCAAAATTTGGACTACCGATATCCATGCTGAAAATTCCACACTCGTACTGAAAATACGGTGTGGAATCAAGCTGTAAATCAAAAAAAAAAACCAACCAAATTAAATTCCTCACAAAAGCAATACTTGAAAATTGATCTGACCCCACTTGCGACTGGCCATATTCCGGCATTTACATGGGGTTCTAGTGAGAAGCCGTGACTGTCAGGTCGAAGGTGAGGACAGTTACTCATCGAAGAAGACATTGAGCAAAGTGGTCGCGCTCTACCGTGAATTAGCAGAAGTTACAATTCATGGGCTGGCCATTGGATAGAGAGAGTGCCAGTGGCTTAATGGTGCACGAGCTCGCTGACCTTGTAACCAGAATGTCCTGAGTTCGAACTTCAACCGGTGGGTGTGTACCGCTGGAGAGCCACAATCTAGTGGGATGAAACAGATGTCTGGAAGTACTCCCTTCAGGTTTTCCAGTGGTTCTCTCTAACCAATGTCTGCTCATGATGAAATCCTTAAACCAATCAAACTAAATCTTCACAAAACCAATACTTCAAAATAAAAAGAAATTTACCAATGCATGCATAATTATTTATAACTTCTTGAAATTGTTGTGATAAATCAGAGATTTGAGCAATTGTCAACCCATCTAAACCATAACGTTTCGTTTCACCAACAAATTTGTACATATCACAATGACCTTTAAAATAAATTATAATAATAAAAAGGGTATACTGAATAAATTATTAATGATAAAATCAATAAAGATCACAATTTCAGGTGTGTACCAGTTTCCATTCATTTCTAAGAATGATTTCATCACACAAATCGGTCGATATCAGCTAGAGAATCACTGAATGAAAGATGGAAGAGTACAATCCAACTGTGTCACTTTAGGAACGACGACTTTTCAGCCGATGTTAATCCCTGATGAGTTAGTTACCTTTGGAAATCAGTCAAATCTTTACAAAAGATGATTTGTGGCTGAACATCTGTCTCATCCAAGCGTTGGTGGCACAGCTGTAGAATGCTCGCCAACGACGCCTCATGTGGTTCAGGGTTCGATCCCTGGCCAACGCACTGTTTCACTTCGCTAAGCCAGTAATAAGACTGGTAAAAAGAAAGGGTTTTACATGAGACTAGCAACTCTATCCCGTAAAAATACACACCCATGTTACCGAAACTTCAAGACCCCAGCTTGAAGCCACCCTATACTCCACTGGGGACGTAAAAGAATAAAAACAAAATCTGTTTCATTCTAGTTTGAAAGTCTCTCGCCTTAATCATCCATGATCCCAAGAGGGATAGAAACTAGAGTCTTCAGTTTGTGAGTCCGTCACGTTATCATTCACCTGATGGGTTGGTAACCAATGACTCAGGAATTCTTGTAGTAGACAAACTGTTGTGAAAATCCCTCCTGATCGATCCATTTATAATATATTTATACTAATTTAGACGTCTCAACTAATTTTGAAATTATTATACGCCTTTCATTAATTTGACATTTACAGAGCACATGATGATTTTTGACCATCATTATTTGCCTCTATCCTTGTTTAATCTTCAATTGTAATACTTCTTGTTGTAGCTGCGTGTACATTAACAACGTGTTGTTTAACGATATAAGTTTGTTTTGAAGGTCATCCTGATCCGAGAAGCCTTGGTGTGTGATTCTTGTGGACAGAGGTTTTGATCTCACCTCGTTAGGAATATTCTCCCCTTATTCCAAAGTACCTTTTACAGCTGAACTGAAGTTAACTAATTTTGTCTGACAGTACTAGTTTCACATTTAGAAGCATACCTTGCCTATATAGCTAGCTGCTTCACGGCACTGCTGAGATACACTTGAGTTTTGATATTATTATCGTTTAATAGAACCACTAAAATATTGGGGACTAATTGTTTTTTCCCTGTGCTTGGACGTTTTATAATAGCGCATATCTCAACGCAGTTTTGTCAGCTATGTAGTAGAACGCAGAGATCAGTTTTTTACATTCACACTATAACCGAATAAATTTGGTCACTAAAATTCTATCTTCTTTTCCGAACTAGGAAGAAATAGTTATCCAATATTCTCTGCTTTTCAGTAGCTCTCCAACTGAGATAGCTTCATGAGGAAATATACTTTCTCATACCAGCATAAACTCAACAGCTAAAAACATCAATGAATGATAGAGAAGATTTGTAGCTCAGGTGGATGATTTGCAGTTAGTAGTGTTCTCTGAGCTGGTTGGTTTAGTTGTGAAGCTTTCGTCGTCCACCTTCCAGACAACATCCTCTTTCAGCGCAATTTTTAGCATAAAGTGAACTGATTTAAATTTTCCATGAGTGGTAAGCACTCACTGGGTGCTGTGAGTTCGAATCTCGTAAGGGACATGAGTTCTCCCAAGGTGATTGATGATACGCCTTGATGACTGGTGAGGGCCAACTAGCACGAAACCTAGGTCAATCAGGGCTTCCAGCCGATTGCGATATTATCAATTAGACGTGGTTCTTTAAGCGTTAGAAATCACCGGCTCCATCTTTTTATCTTTAAGTATTTAACAGTTGAATACATGCAACATCATAATCCATAATGGGTAACGTATTTGGTAATAATCAATTTTATTCACCTAGACTGTTGATAAATAGAATGGTCACTCAGGCTCCAATGGAATTCCGACATACTTTCTCACTTAAACTTACACTGCTATACTTTTGATGAACAGAAGAATTATTAATTATGACAATCAGATGAAAAGTGTACTTATCCTCAACTGTATAGCTTTATTATGATCACATTGTCTGTGAGAGGGGTCTACACAATATATGTCGACTAGACTGGATACAGAACTCTGCCCCGAACAAGCTGGATTCAAGAAGGGTAAATTATGTACTGATCAAATTGCAACTCTACGCATCATCATCACAAAACAAAGCATAGAATGGCAATCAAACCACTCCCTACCTCAACTTCATCGACATCGAAAAGACCTTCGACAGACAGCATTGACCGAGGAGTAATTTGGAAATTACTTCAGCACTATGGCGTGCAGTGGCTCAAATCTGTATCAACCTCATTCGTCAGCTAGCTATGTGATAATGCCACATGTCAGGTGATCCACAACGGAAAACTCAGTGAGGCGTTCGAAGTGAATACTGGAGTAAGACAAGACTGGCTGTCTATTATCACTGATGATATTGTTAACTGTGATGGACTGGATTATGCTTCAGATTGCGTGTTGGGAGCGGGGAGACAGGAATACACTGGACCACCGAAGACTCCAGAAGATCTGGATTTTGCAGATGGTATATGTCTAGTGTCAAACAAACTCGAAGACTTGTAGGTGAAAACAAACAAACTGGCTGAAAAAGGGAGCAGCGAACACAGGACTGCAGGTGAACATAGAAAAGACGGAGGCCATGAAGATAACCAGCGAAGGGCAACTACAATTAGCACCAGTCACTATCAACGGGAGAGATTTGACAGAGGTTACCTCCTTCACGTATCTAGGAAGCAGCGTTTCAACTACAGGCGGAAAGTGTGAAGATATCGGAGACGGTCAGAATCGGAAAGGCGAGATACGCCTTCATCAACCTGAAACCAGTTTGGAAATCTTCTGCACTAAGTCAGCATGAAGAACAAGATTCGGATTTTCAACACCAATGTGAAGTCGGTCCATCTATACAGGTCAGAAACGTGCACTGCGTGTCACAAAAGGGATTTCCAACACGTCACACAGACTCATATCAACACCTGCCACCTTTTCTGGCTCCATAGTGAAGATCTAATTGCCAGAAAGAGTTAGTAACAACAAACTCTGGCTGGGAAAAAACCAACAAACAAGAGCCGATCGCTCAACAAATATGTGGGAGTAAATGGAGATGGATCGGGCATACATTGAGGAAACCGTCGAATGACATTCCACCAAATGCAGGCCATCGCTCGAATGGAATCCAAATGGGAAGCAACGAGTGGGTCATCAGTGCGAGGGTGATATGGAGGAGATCGTGTGGCCAGCAGGAGATAAGATATTATGGTCAATCGCGGACCTAGCAGAAGAGAATGATAGAAAACAGAACAAAGTGGAGATGTGTTGTTGAAGTCCTATTTTCCACTCGGAACCCAAGGTAATAATAATAATAATCCGAGCCATGACGAATTGCAATGGTTCAAGTCAAAGTTAAGATAAATTTTAGGTATGAGAATCTACACCGTATAGGAATTGTTTGACTAACAGAACATGTTTAAACATGTTAGTGAATGGTGAAATGCTTAAAAATATAATATTATTGTTATTATTATTAAATAGTGTAATGTGTCTAGTCCTTTGTTCGCTGCAGACTGAATTCTATCATCAGTCAAGTTTGCAATGTGGCCAGCATTCTATGTAGCTCGCCATCACGTCTATACTTGTAAAACTATAGAAAGTGATTTAAGAAGGCATAATACAGCAAAAATATCTCTTCTCATCATTTCTCTTATGTCTTCCTAATCACATGACATGGAAGTTTATCATGCCTTGAAGAAACCGGCTTTGGCTTTGGAAACTATGGGCACTGGGTTCGAGCCTCGGTGGGAACATCATCACTCCCTGGGGAATGCAGATACATCCAGTTAGCTGACGAGTCCAAAATAGGACGAAATGCACATCCTGGTGGATTCTACTGCTAGTTATCATCCACCAATTAACTTCTAATAATAATAATATTGCAGAAATGGAAGTCGATTGCTTCTTGAATTACCTGAAACGAAAACAGCACTAGTGTTGTGTGACAGCCGAGTCATGAGGCGACTGCTTCAGGCCAGTGACACACAGTCTGTTTGAAGCGGTTCCTGAAGTTATGTCTGAATGAGGGCTGCGGACCGCAGCAGGATAAGTCAGAATCTAAACATTTTGAGTTCAGCCTTTTCTAACCGCCACTCCACCTCAAAGCGGCGAAGCAGCATAGCCTGGCTATTTTTGCTGGTCATCCTAGCGAAACACTTTGCTAAGACTACATCTCTATTCACCAGCAGCAGAACTTCACCCTCATACCCCTAACATAGTGTGAGCGACTTACACTATGACAGCAGTTGCTTTTAGTCTAACCCCTGTCTAAACGATCTTTCAGTCATGATAAGACATGCAAGAAAATTAGTTCCAACCTGTATAGCTTGTTGAGTCATTGCATCGTTCGAGCCCGACCACCACATTAACGTAGCAGCTGTCAGTCGGAAATAATAGAACAGACCAACATTGAACCAACTACTGTAAAGCATACTTACCAGTCAGATTCGTGTATATTCCATCCATACCACTAAATTTCTGATCATTGGAAACATCAAATACATATCCAAATAAACATAAATGTTTGCATTGTTGTAAATCTTCTACTTTTAATGGCCATTTAAGACAGTTGGGCTGTTTAACATGTGTGTTCATTGACTTCATAGATAGTGAAGCTTCTTCAGGTTTAAAAATGAACTGAGCTACCATCTTTACAAATGTTTCAAACGTTTTTGCATTCACATCTTGTGAAAATTTTCTTTGAAAGTAAATTACCAGAATAGGTAAAATAAAAGCGAAGATAAGCAGTTTTTTACCCTTTGTAAAGGAAAGAAATAAAAGAATGCATGACGTTTAGAAGGCTACTCAGAAGATATAAATAAATTTAAAGGATAAATATATAAGCTGATGTAGGTTAGAGAACCATTGGAAAACCAACGTGGAGCACTGGAAAGCTGTTTCGTACTACTTTGGCACTCTTCAGCAATATGCATCTACCGCGGCTAGAACCCAGGATCTTCTAGTTACAAGGCGAGCTCATAGAGAGAAGCTGGATAGGGTCCCAGTGGCTGATAAATGGTCTACGAGCTCGCTAGCCTTGTAACCATAAGGTCCTGGGTTCGAACCCCAACCGGTGGGTGCGTACTGATGAAGAGTCAGTCCCAAACTAGTGGGAAGAAACAGCTGGCTATCCAGTACTCCTTGGTGGTTTTCCAATGGTTCTCTAACCGATGTCAGCTCATGATGAAATCCTGTAACCAATCAATCAAATGCCTACAAATCAATACTTGAATAAATATATAAGTTAATGTTCGGAGTCAGCCATTCAGTAACAACCTCTTTGCCTGACTCAGTCAGAATTCAAAGTAGAACTTTGTACAAAAGTTCACTAATTCAAATTGCTATGCACCCTATAATAAGCGTAGGTAGAAAAAGGATATTCAGAGAAACTATAACAAAATAAAGGGAAATTCACGGGAGAAAGAATAAATACAAAGAGAGAGTAATCAGAATTAGATAAATCTAGAAGTTTATAAAGAGTGAATGCATCTGCATCACTGAGAACGACTTTCAGTCATCATATCACAGAAAATCTTCAGCCAAATGGTTCCCTAATACCTTGGACGACAACCTCAACCAGGGAGTTTATACCTTCCTAAGTGGTTGGCTTATACCAATAGTCAGAGAGAGACATTGTGGATTGATTCCATGTATTAGTTTGATCAATCCCAACTGTTTACTAACCCACTTCTACGTCAGTAAACAATGTTCCACGAGGATGGCAATGGGACTTGGTATCCGCAACACATGCCCACACCTACTCATGATACTTGTTGACGCTGAAATGTAATGTTTGCCCACCTATATTCTCCACATGGCTCCAACCTGGGTCACTCTGACTACAATATTTTGACCATCACTAACCCCTGAAGTGATGGGTTGAATGTGCAAACTGGTGATATCAAATTGTAACTCATCTAGCTAACTGACCTTGCAACCACAAAATGGAAGTCTCGCATTTCATGTTTATAAATTATTACTATGAATATATGAAGTATTAGAAGAATTTTGGACATCATTTCGAATAGTTGCCTTCCTTAAATGTTCAACAACAACCTAAGTGAATGAAATTCATGAAAAGAAACTTTTTTTGAACCCAAACAATTTCGAAGTACCACGTACAATATCTAAAGTTCGATCACGAACTGACATAACTTAGAGAGGAGCTAATGAAGAAGTTGTTTCGTCCCAGTTTGGAACTCATCAGAAGCAGACGCCTGGGACCCCACAGAGGATTGGATCCAGCATTTCCAGGCTACAAGGCCAGCTCATGGACCAACAAAACCGCTGGGAAGAAATCCAATGACTGGCCCATTAATTACAAATCCTACCGATTTGCGCAAGCGCCAACCAGTGTATTCGGTGAGTATTTGTCCTCACACCCAACTTGTTGGACCCGACTGCTCACGATCTCTAAAAGAGGAGGTTAGTCACCTTCATCATGTTGTCAGTCACTCTCTCCATCTGTGTGGTGAAGGTTGGCTGCTAGCCAAAATCGGTAGATAGTAATTTACGTCAATGTTTACGTCCCTAGTATTAGTCATGAGAAAAATAAGAACAAAGACTGACTCAACAACCAATCACAGTAGACTTTGCGTAGGTGGATACAATTTGCAGATAGATAATTTGAACTTCAAGAAACGGCTACAAAGAGATGAAAGATTAACGTTCAGAGAGAAACCACCAATCAGAAGACTGTGTTTGTTTCCTTACAATAATCTATAATAATGTACATGTAAATATATAAATATGTGTTGATTTCCTAAATAAACGATCCGTTGTCTGGCCCTTGTCTCCTGTCGTTACATCTGTGCCTCTTTTCCAGGGTTACTATCAGGTAGTAAACTAGGCGACGTTTAGGAATGTATCGGCTAGGGATCGAACCCGGACGATATATGTGGTTGACAAGCATCCTAACGTTGAGCCACTGACCCATAGATAGTCAGTTTAAAATATACTACTTAAAGCCATTTCAAAAGAAATCTCAACGTGCAGAATATACATGAGTGCACACATACAATCAAGTCTGAAACAGAAATTTCATGTTATATTCTTTAAAAGACATAAATTTTTTTTAAACTTGAGTTTATAACACTAATATTATCCATTCCTCACATTCCGAGGGGAAAATGGGATGTCAGCAACACATTTCTACTGCCTCTGTTCCTTGTCATCATTTGTGGCCGGCTCCAAGACTCCCAAGAAGCCCTCACTTCCACTTCTGATGAAAAGTCCCAAAATAGTGGGACGAAACAGCTGTCTCGCAGTACTCCCTGTTGGTTTTCCAATTGTTCTCTAACTAATGTCAGCTCATGATGAAATCCTCCAACCAACCAATCAAACAAAACTTGAACTCTAGACACTAAACCTTAATCTTAAATTCCATAAACCTACTTAATACTAAAGATTTTCAGGAAAAGTACCTAGTAAATAAGGTGAATACTGTATCTATCCTCTCCAAGTCCAAAAATGGCAAACGTGATTTGATTTGGAACGACATTTCATAGCATTCCCTCTATATAATCGATACCTGAAGGTCAACTTTTGAACGAGCTTGACTTTGACTATAATACTTTACCTTCGCCTTGAAACTAATCAGATCCTTATAAAGTAACACTTGAAAATACACTTTAATATTATTTTTACGAGTTGATCACGGATTGATAGACCACGAATTGGTAGAAGTTGGAATTCATGGACTGGCCATTGAATCGGGTCCCAGTGGCTGAGTGGTATACGAACTTGCCTTGTAACCGCGAGGTCCTGGGTTCGAACCCTGGTGGTGGGTGCGTACTGCCGATGATTCCCAAACTAGGCTGGTGAAACAGCTGTCCAGTACTCCCTGTCAGTTTTCAATGGTTCTTTAATTGATATCAATCCACGGTCAAATCGTAAAAACAAAACTAACCCTTACAAACCAACTATAGAAAATTACTCTGATGCTCGCTAGTGACTTGCTACAGGATGGAGTTCCCTGGATTTCTAGTGAGAAGTTTTGACCAGTGAAGTCCACCCAGATGTCACGTGTGAGGATGGATGTCCCACCGACGACATTGGTTGAGGTTACGCTAAATCACGAATTGGTAGAAGTTAGAATTCATGGACTGGCCATTGAATTGGGTCCCAGTGGCTGAATAGTATACGAGCCAGCTTGCCTTGTAACCGGAAGGTCCTGGGTTCGAACCCTGGTGGTGGGTGCGTACTGCCAATGATTTCCAAAACTAGGATGTCTAGTACTTCGTGCTGGTTTTCAATTGTTCTCTAACTGATATCAATCCGTGAACAACTCGTAAAAACAAAACTAACCCTTACAAATCAAACTATAGAAAAAAACACTGATATTATTATATTTTCATTGTTATTTATACCTTTACTTTCTGAGTGGAATATAGGGCTTCAAGTTTTAGCTCTGAGCTTGTTAGCCTCACTTCCGACCTTCCCTCTTAACCGGAGTGACTACCGGTTAAGTTAGGTTTAGGAATGCGTCGGCCGGGGATCGAACCCCAGACCACATGAGGTGTGGTTGACGAGCATTCTACCGCTCAATCACCGAGATTTGAATATACAATCACTCAATCATTGTTTGAAAGGCAATGTCGAACGAAATGTTGTTATTAGATAGTTGGAGGCAATCGGCCACAGGAAGCCTTGGACCAGCTAGGTTTCGTGCTAGTTGGCACTTATAAGTCAGCAAGGCGTGTGTGCAACCTTCAAGGAACTCGTGTCCCTTCTGAGATTCGAACCCGCGTCACCCAGTGCCGCAGTTAGTCAGAGACGTTACCACTGAGCTATTTTGTTAACCTGATATAATATGTAACTAACTTTATGTGGTAAAAATCGTATGTTAACCGTGCATAACCTTTATACGTGTTACCAAATAATCCTTTATTGAATGACGTTTTTAGTTAATAATACAAATCTAAGTACAGCCATTTAAGAACCGACCTTATAAGGATAAAGCGAAGAAAAAAGTGTGAGAATACAGAATGTTTATCAATCTGTTTTGTACTTTCAAGTTTATAAATTTATTCATGACAGAAAAAATAAATAAATAAAATAAAGCGGATGAAAAACCTTCATGTCATAGCTGGATGAGGTGATCAGAATTTAATGATATAAGTATAAAACGTTGGCACTGTGGTGTGGTAGAGTATAACTCCATCATGATGGATAAAAATTTGTTAATTTGATAAAGTCACACGCACACACAGTGTGTTGTTATACAGTAAGTAATATTTACTGATGCCACCGCGTTTTCGAGCACAAATTATCATTGCCACGCATAAACATATCAAGGCACTAGTCGCACAACTTTCTTGCTTCATTTATTATATGAGTAAAATTGTTTAGACGTTTGAATAAAATCAATATAAGATAAAGTACATTCAGAAATAATAATATTAGTACTATCAATAAAATACAATCAGATGGGAAATAAGATGAATTAGGGTGGCATTCAAACTTACAAACTAACTCAGAGACAAGCTCTGTAGGATAAAGGACCCGGTGGACCCAATCAAACAAAATAATATAATTCACAAAATACCTTGCAATGACTGTGAGTTGAGTTAACTACATAGGTCAAACTAATAGATCAGGAGTAGTCAGATTGCCTGTTAGAACATAAGAATTTAGCTAAGGTTAGAATGATTGATCCCACCCGCGAAGATAAGTACTTTAGAAAACAACTCAGCACTACGTTGTTCTGCATGCATTAATACACAACCACAATAGGATGGGTGGGACATAGTTAAAATT